TGCCCAGGCGGGTCTCGAACCCGCAGGCTCAGGCAATACACTCACCTCGGCCTCCCAAAGTGCTAGGATTACAGGCTGAGCCACCGAGCCCAGCCTCATTAATTATAATAATACAGTTACTGATAACCATGATAATAGTCACGGCTCACACTTACTGACCTCAAGCTCAGCTTTGGAAAAAGCAGCCATGGCCTAAGAAGGCAGGCTGAGGGGCCTGCCTGCCTGATGGTCTGAGCACACCTTCCACTCCTTCCTGGCCATCCTGCCGAGTAGCTGAGTGGCCTTGGGAAAACTCTTCAACCTCTCTGGGCCTCGGTCCCCTCGACTGTGAAATGGGAGACTTGGAATGCCTGTCTTTGAGACTCGGTGGTGCAAACTGGGTGAGACAGATGTATCCTCCCACAGAACAGTGCCTGGCACTGAGTGTTGACAATGAGGACGATGGTGTGTTGAGCGCTGGCTCCCTGGGAACAACTGCCCTCCCTGGGACTCTTATCAAGCCTCTGAAGCAGGCGCTGCCATTATCCTCATTTTACAGACGAGGAAACGGAAGCTCTTTGGGCTCCGAGGCACGCAGGGATGCGAAGAAGGGAGCCAGGCATCCGAGCCAGGCCAGAAGAGCTGGGTGGCGGCTGGAGAGGCCAGCAGGGGCAAGGGTACTTTTTCAGATGCAAGAGGCTGGGGAGGGCCTGGGAGAGCGGGCGAGGCCAGGGTCTTCAGGGGAGGACAGAGCCGTCTGGCCCCACCTGGATAGGGCAGTCCCGAGTGCAGGGCCCACACAGAGGTCCCCAGGCTGAGTTGAGGACACCAGAGCCTGGGACCTCAACTTACCCAGGGCCAGAGGACGTGAGCTGTCCGGAACCAGGCGGCTCGCTGCTTCACGTTGGCCACCAGGGCCTCTGCATAGAGGTCAATGTTGGCTGGGGTGACGGGCTCACTCATGTTGGGGTACACCCCGTCTGGGGGTGGCTCTGGGAAGACGGCCACGCCATTCCAGTAAAAGCCCGACCTGCAGGAGGCGGGGCGGGGGGGAGGAGAAACAGGAGCTGTGAGGCAGGCTGGGCTCGGATCCGGGTGCCAGTCTGTGGCCTTTGGACCTGGACCCGTTTCACCTGGAGCTTGAATCTTCCCTCTCCCACGACAGGCTGGCAGGGGTTCAGACAGGACTGTTGTGCTCACGCTCATGCAGGCCACCCCCTCGCTCACTGGACTTGGAGTCTCAGGACCCTGGACTCAAGTGATCCTCCTGCCTTGGCCTCCCAAAGTGCTGGGATTACAGGTGTGGGCCACCGGAGCTCAGTCTGCCGATTGGTAAAATGTGTGCCAGGTTGTTATGGGATTAAATGAAATAATCTATGGGAAAGAGCTGGAAACAGTGCCGGGCACAGAGCAGAAACTAACACACGGCAGTGACTGCTCACGAATCTCGCCGGGCATTCTTGTCTCCCTCCAACTTGCCTGCCATCTTTCCTATTCAAAGAGGGACCAGGCACCATGGTCAAAGCCCCACAGGCACAAAGGGCAGAGCTGGGATTTGAACCAGGGGCCGCCTGGCTGCCAAGAGGCCGCAGGTTGGCTGTCGTAGCAACATGGAGGATCTGGAGCCAGTGGCCCGACTCAAACGCTGGCTTCTCCACCTGCCAGCTGGGGAGCTGGGGTGGGTGGCTATGCCTCGGTTTCTTCTGTGACATGGGACACTCTGAGAGCATCTCCTTTGGGGCTGCTGGGAGGGTTTTAGAGATAACACAGGGAGACTGCTGGGAACAGGGCCAGGCCCAGTGCGAGGCTTGTGTCCGGGAACAACAAGCCGGAGCATTTAGGCTCATCCTCTCCGGCTCTGGAGGTTCTTGGTCTATGGCTCCACACTCCTGGTCCCCGCTGTGTCTAGCTCAAACACTTCTGAGGAAGAAGGTGGGCTGTAAGGCTCAGATGCCACGTGCTGCCTGACATGGCTGACGCTCGCAGGGCCCTGGCAGTCTGCCTGTGGGCTCGCTCCCCTTATCAGGCAGGAAAGCCCCTGCCCAGCCGCCCACCTGGTCCTCAACATGACAGTTTCCGCCTCCCTGCCAGTCGGTGAGATGATTCCAAAGACCCAACGCCATCCCTCTGTGGGAGCCAGAGGGCACCTCACCCCCCCGCCACTACACAGTCTGCCACTGCCTGTCCACTCTGCCGCCCAGGGCAAGCCCCTCCTCCCTGGGGTTGTGAACTTGCTCTCTGGAACTTTATTGCTAGGGTGATCCAGACAGGACACTGACCTGGCGCCTTAATGCACGTGACCTGCGAACTGCTGTGATCTCACTGCCCCATGCCGGGTGGTGTATGTCCCACCATCCCCTGCCATCAGGGCACAGACCCCTGTCTCCCCCACAGGGTGAACGGGAGGCCATCGGGGCTGGAGGTGGTAATGCCAGGCCACGATGAGCAGAATTATGTCAGAGCGTTTCCCGTGATCCCTCTCTTCGCCTGCCCCTCCCACCTTCATTATGATCCCGACAGGGATGAGGACCTGGAGGGGACAAGGTGGGTGGGAGAATCCGGCCGGAGAAGGCAGCTGGGGGGAGGGTATGGCGAGGGGCTCGAGGGGCCCTGGAGTGTGTGGGCACAGGGTGGGGGAGAGTGGTGGCCCCTGGAAACCAGCCGTTCAATTTCCTCGCTTTGCAGATGGGGGCCTATTGGGGCCACGGTGGGAGGTTCTTGGGATGCTGGTGTCAAGCCCTCATCCTTTTAGTAATCCCACTTGGGGACAGGGACTCATCACAGAAGCAACTTGGAGTCACAAAGAACGAGTCAATGGTGGCTCGGCCCGTCATCCCACGCCTTGGGAGGCTGAGGTGAGTGGATTGCCTGAGCCTGTGGGTTTGCGACCCACCTGGGCAACCTGGCGAGAGCTCAACTCTACGATAAATAAAAAAATCAGCTGGGCGTGGTAGCGCATGCCTGTAAGTCCGACTACTCGGAAGGCTGAGGCGGAAGGATCGCCGGAGCCCGGCAGGTCGAGGCTGCGGTGGCTGGGAGCGCCTATTGCACTCCAGTCTGGGCGACAGAGTGAGACTCTAACTCAAAAAAACAAAAACAAAAACAAAGAACGAGTCAAATACTGCCTTCCCTACTGGCCAGCTGGGTGGCCCTGGGCTGGTCACTTACCCTCTGAGCCTCAGTTTCCTTGTCTGCAAAATGATTAACCCCACCTGCGCTGCTGGGAGGCTTACAAATGGGGAACTACATATGGAAATGCATGACGAGCAATCGTCAAAAAGCTGCCTAAGAGTGCCCAGGCGTACTGTCCTCAGATCTCAGGGGCAGCGGCAGGGGGCACGCACCTGTTGGAAAAAGGGATGTGAGAGGGGGTGCAGTAGCTGTACTGGTCCATGACGTGTGTGAAGATCTCCTGCTGCGCCGAGAGGGACGGGGAGCCTCGCCACACGAACTGCAGCCCCTGTGGACCCAGAGGGGCGGGTGAGGGCCGAGGGGCTGCCTGGGTTCCCCTCGCCCAGCCCAGCTTGGGCATCACCTCCCGCCCTCACCTTAGCCTCTCCCAGTGGTTCGAGGACAAGCTCTCCCCGCTTCTGTGTGAGATTCCTCTCCCAAAGTCATAGGTGGTGGTGGTGGGGTTTGCTCTGATTCACTCCACCCGCCTCTAAGGGCAGGCCTCTCTCTGCCAGGCCTTTCTCACCAAGGCCTCTGAAAAAAGCTCATTCTTTTTTGAGTTGGAGTCTCACTCTGTCGCCCAGACTGGAGGGCGGTGGCCGGGAGCCTCAACCTGCTGGGCGCCGGCAATCCTTCCACCTCGGCCTTCCAAGTAGCCGGAACTACAGGTGCGCGCTGCCACGCCCGGCTAATTTTTGATTTATTGTAGAGATGAGGTCTCGCCAAGTTGCCCAGGTGGGTCTTGAACCCACAGGCTCAGGCAATCCACTCACCTAAACCTCCCAAAGGCGCGGGATTACAGGCTGAGCCACCGAGCCCGGCTAAGAAGCTCATTCTAACTCTGCTTGAATACCTTTAGGCACAGGGAGTTCATTACCTCCCACCAACTGTGTAGTCTATTTTTAATAATTCTGATGGTTACAAAGTGCTCAGGTTCTGGTGCAGGGATAAAACCCAAATTCTATTAAGTACTAGCTCTGAGATCCCACGCAAGTCTTTCAAGTCTCTGTGACTTGGTTTCTGTATGAAAAATGGGGAGAAGCCGGGCTCAGTGGATTGCCTGAGCCCGCGGGTTCGAGACACGCCTGGGCAACTTGGTGAGACCTCATTCCTGCAATAAATCAAAAATGAGCTGGGCATGGTACCGTGCGCCTGTAGTTCCAGCTACTTGGAAGGCTGAGGCGGGAGGATCGCCAGAGCCCAGCAGGTCGAGGTTGCAGTGGCCGGGAGTGGCCACTGCACTCCAGTCTGGGCGACAGAGTGAGACTCTAACTCAAAAAAAAAACAAAAGAAGAAAAATGGGGAGAGTCACACCCCGTTCATAGGGCCATCTGCAAGTGACATGCAGCTGACGTAGCGAGTGTGCCCAGTATTCAGGAAGGGCTGAATGCTCCCCCGTGAACAATACAAATGCTACTCTCTTGGCCACCTAGAGCCCAGACCCACTTTTGTATAACTCCCGCTGGCCAGGTTTGCCATTGCTTTCTGGAACTTTATTGCTAGGGTGATCCAGACAGGAAGCTTACCTTTTGGAGCCTTGGTTCCCCCATCTGTAGAATGGGGATAATTATAACTCTACCCATCTGTCATAGGTTGAATTGTGCCTCCCTCAAAAAAGACACATTGAAGTCCTTACCCCTAGTATCTCAGAGTGTGACCTTATTTGGAAATTAGATCTTTACAGAGGTGATCAAGCTAAAATGAGGTCAAGAAGGCGGGCCCTAATGCAACAGAACTGGTGTCCTTATAAAATGGAGAGAAACTGGGCCAGGTGCAGTGGCACATACCTGTAATCCCAGCACTTTGGGAGGCTGAGGTGGGAGGAATGCTTGAGGCCAGGAGTTAGAGATCAGCCTGGGCAACACAGCAAGACCTCATCTCTACCAAAAAAAAAAAAATCAAAAAATTAGCCAGGCACAGTGGCATGCCCCTGTAGTCTCAGTTACTTGAGAAGATGAGGCAGAAGGATCACTTGAACCCAGGAGGTTGAGGCTACAGTGAACCGTGATCACACCACTGCAGAGTGACACTCTGACTCAAAATAAAATAAAAAACGAGAAGGGGAATTCGAACAGAGACACGCACAGACAGAAGATGCTGGGAAGGCAGAGGGAGAAGACGGATATCAGGCCAAGGAGAGGCCTGGGACAGATCCCTCCCTGACTCATTCAGACACACAGCCCCACCGACACCTGTCTTGGACTTCTAGCCCCAGAACTGTGAGACAATAAACGTCTGTTGCTCAAGACACCCACTCTGCGGGGCTTTGTTAGGGCAGCCCTGGGAAAGTACCATACCACTTTGCAGGCTGCTGTGAGGGTCAGACGAGATGAGGGAGGGGTCGGGCTTGGTCCTGGGCCTGACACTCCCTAAGGCACCGTCAAAGTTGGTGTCCAGCCGGGTTCGGTGGCTCAGCCCGTCATCCCGTGCCTTTGGGAGGCTGAGGGGAGTGGATTGCCTGAGCCCGCGGGTTCGAGACCCGCCTGGGCAGCGAGACCTCATCTCGACAATAAATCAAAAAATCAGCCGGGCGTGGTAGCGCGCGCCTATAATTCCGGCTACTCGGAAGGCTCAGCGGAAGGATCGCCGGAGCCCGGCAGGTTGAGGCTGTGGCGGCTGGGAGCGGCCACTGCACTCCAGTCTGGGCGACCGAGTGAGACACCAACTCAAAAAAAAAAAGGTGGTGTCCACTGTGGTGTGTTGCATGATTTAATTCTGATAACAGCTGCCCACAAGCCCAAAGAGGCGTGACATCTCTGCTAACTGTTCTCCCAGCTGAAACACACCCTGACATTTCCTCTGGTCTGTCAACCGCTGTTAACTGAGTACAGTCGGCTCGAGTTCCTGTGAGGGGCCGAAGGAAGGAGCCCAGTCCTAGTCCCAAGTGAAGGACAGGTCTCGAAGCAGGAGGCATCCAAACTGGGCCTGCAGCTGTGCGGGGAATCCAGGTGTGCGTGGAGAGAGGGCACTCCTGGTGGAGCAGACAGTGAGAGCAAAGGCTGTTTGCATAGAGCAGGGTTCTGCATAGCTGCCGAGAATTCCCGGAGGTGCTGGCCTAAGTGGTGGCCTTTGCTGATGCCTGAAGCAAGCAGGGAGGGCAGGAGCCACCTGTGGGCGGCGGGTGTGGCAGGCGACTCACCTGGGCCCCCTGCATGGCCGCCTTCAGGTCGTAGTCGATCCGGGAGGTGAGGTGGGCATTGAAGCCCGCCAATGCGAACAGGGTGGGGGTCGTGGCGGACGCGCCAAACGGGTCGACGTGCCAGGAAAACTGTGGCCGGACTCCGAACGTCTCGTAGAGAAACCCGTGTCCTTCTGCAAAGATAGCATGGCTCTGTGGGTGCCCGGCAGGGTGGGCCTGTGCCTCCTCACCCATGCCCACGCAGGGTGCTTTCTGTCCAGCGGACTGCAGTGCCAGTGACCAGGCTGGGCAGGGCTATGCAGGCTGGCAGAGGGGAGAGTTTGGGCTTATTTTTTTGAGACAGAATCTTGCTATGTGGCCCAAGCTGGATTTGAGCTCCTGAATTCAAGTGATCCTTCCGCCTCAGCCTCCTGAATAGCTGGGACTATAGGCATGTGCCACCATGCTCGGCTTAATGTTTAACCTTGAATTGTGGTAAAGTACACATAACATACAATTTTCCACCTTAGCCATTTCTTTTCTTTTTTTTTTTTGTTGGAGTCTCATTCTGTCACCCAGGCTGGAGTGCATGGCACGCTCACGGTGACCCCAGTGTCAACCTGCTGGGCTCTGGTGATCCTTCCGCCTCAGCCTTTCAGGTGGCCAGAACTAGAAGTGCACGCTACCACATCCGGCTAATTTTCTGATTTATTGTAGAGACGAGGTCTCACCAAGTTGCTCGGGCTGGTCTAGAACCCACAGGTTCAGGCAATCCACTTGCCTTGGCCTCCCAAAGTGCTGGATGACAGGCTGAGCCACCAAGCCTGGCTTCTTTTTTCTTATTTTTCGGAGTCAGAGTCTCACTGTGCTGCCATTCTGTCACCCAGGCTAGAGTGCAGTGGCACGCTCAGGGCTACCATAGCCTCAACCCGCAGGGCTCAGGCGATCCTTCCTCCTTAGCCTTCTACGCAGCTGGGACTACAGGTGTGTGCCACCATGCCTGGTCAAGTTTTTGATTCCCTGTAAGGACGAGGTCTCGCCAAGTTGCCCAGGCTGGTCTCAAACCCTGGGCTCAGGCAGTCCTCTCGCCTCCACCTCCTTAAGTGCTGGGATTAGAGGCCTGAACTGAAATGAGCTAAATCAGTTAATAAAATCAAATTGCTAGCAAAGTAATAATATGAACTAGCTAACTCCATTTTGTTTCAAACTTTCATCTTAGTTACCTGCCTGACCTAAGAATCAATGCCTACATGTGATTACAGTAACGTTCCTGTGACCACAGACCCCCAGCTTTGTCTCCCTTGGGCAGGTTATGCTGACCACTGCCTACTGACCATTACAGAACTCCTTCACCATAGCTTCCATGTGATGGTATGCTTTGTTAACTGAAATCAAATGCTACACGTGGACATTTTCACAGTTTGTTCTTATATTGTTAGTGACCTAACCGAGGTAACTCCATTGTATAACGATTCTTCTTCCTTGTCTCTATGTAACTACCTTAAACTATATCTTAATGGCAGAACTCCAGGGACTTTCTGGGCACTGGCTATACCGAGGACATGAAATTAATCAAAGCTCCCTAACAATCGAAGTTCACATTTTGGTTGCCAAGTTGTTAGATAATAGTTGCTATGGTCACTAAGTTGCTAGGTGGCCAGTGCTGCAAATTTTACCTTTAAAGGCTTGTCAGAAACTGCATCAATTTGTCAAGAGTTTTTGTTCCTACTCTTGATCCACGCATTAATAAATTCGTAATTAATTAAACTCAACTTGCTGGCGTAGCTTCTTCTGGCTTACTTGGTCATAAAAGAACCACCGTACCCAGACTTAACCACTGCTAAGCGTACACTTCAGCGTCACTACATTCACGCAATTGTGCATTCGTCACCGCCCTCTGCCTCATCTTCTTTCCCCATTAAACACTCTCAGCCGGGCTCAGCCTATAATCACGCGCTTGGGGAGGCTGAGGTGAGTGGACTGCCTGAGCCCGTGAGTTCGAGACTCGCCTGGGCAACTTGGCGAGACCTCATCTCTACAATAAATCAAAAAATCAGCCGGGCGTGGTAGCACGTGCCTGTAGTTCCATCTACCTGGAAGGCTGAGGCGGAAGGATCGCCAGAGCCCAGCGGGTCGAGGCTGTGGTGGCCAGGAGCGGCCACTGCACTCCAGTCTGGGCGACAGAGTGAGACTCCAACTCAAAAAAAAAAGAAGTGGAATCCTACAGTATTTGTCCTTTTGTGACTGGTTTGCTGTACTTAGCATAATGCCTTTGGGATTCCTCCGCTGTAGTACGTGTAGAGGTGAAAATTTCTGCACAAACTGGGATAGAGTGCTGACGCCAATGACGTAGTGGGGCTCTCAGACGTCACTAACAATAAAAGGCTAACAGGGAATTTCACGTGTAAGGGCATGGTGGTCCCAAAATACACACATATGTTATTACGACTTCTTCAAGAGGTGAGACTTAGGGCCCAGAGGGTGGCTAGACTCAACGACTCACTTCTAAGAAACACAGCAGTGCCAGTGTGTGCCCCCAAGACGAGAGGATGAAGGGCATCGCAGCTTCCACTGTGGTCTCTTTTGCCTTCTCTCATGGGTCACTCCTCTGGGGAAGCTGATGGCAGTCGGCTGAGCAGTCACCAGGCAAGGAACAGTCGTGTGAGAGCCCAAGCAGAACCGCCAGCCCCAGGCTAGCCTTCAGATAACACAGCTGCACCTATACCCTGATGGCAACTTCCTGAGACCTTGAGACAGAACCACTTGGCTAAGCCGCTCCTGTACGCCTCACTCACAGAAACTGTAGGGTTTTTAAAAATTATCATTCAGAGTCTCACTCTGTCACCCAAGCTGGAGTGCAGTGGCACACTCACGGCCACCGCAGCCTCGACCTGCTGGAACTACAGGCATGTGCCACTATACCTGGCTAAATTTTTTATTTATTGTAGAGCTGAGGTCTTGCCAATTTGCCCAGGCTGGTCTCGAGACCGTGGGCTCAGGCCATCCTCTCACCTCCGCCTCCCAAAGTGCTGGGATTACAGGCATGAGCCACCATGCCAGGCTGAAACTGTAGGTCTTAAATGTTTGGAGCCACTAAGCCACGATGTTTGGGGGCAATTTATTACATGGCACTAGATAACGAATGCAAAGGGCTCTCTCTCTGCCAGAATCATCCAGCCAACCGCTTATTCATTTATTAAGAGTCACCGCACACTGGGCTCAGTGCTGCAGGGAGAAATAAAACCCCAGAGTTGGATAACTCTTCGACTGATGTTCCATGAGCCCTTCCCTCACTATTATCTCCCAACACCCCAAGAGACTGGTGTTAGAATCCGCACGAGAAGGATGGAGAGCAAAGACTCAGAACTCCAGTCGCTGGTCTAGAGCCAAACTGCCTCTCACTGATGGGACCCCGGCCGAAGCCCAGGATCTGGGACAGTGCAGCGAGCAAACACATATGCAAAGTCCAGACAGGAAGGGGTGACTGCAGCGAGGCGTGAGTAGGGCTGAGGAAGACGGGGAGCCAGATGTACAGAGGAGGTGGGCACGACCAGGAGGGGGCTGGACTGGGAGGTGGAGGGCGGTGGGAAGCAGAGAAGATGGAGGGGGAGTAGGGGGAGGTGCGGGGGCG